AAAAATTGTGTAGATCACCGGAAATTTTTCGGAAAATAAACTTGCCCCTTGATTTTTAGGACATGTCACACGACTATGAGCTCGTGTTACATTCCGCAGATTTAATTAATTCGTAACACGTTAATATTAGACCTTTATTTAGTAGAAAATTAGTGGAGATTATCACGGATTGGGAGAATAATCCCAACCTGGGAGAAATCTCCCAAATTGGGAGACATATAACTTAACATGTATATAAGGAACGAGTATTCGCTGTAGTCGAAGAATAACTTTGTAACAAATTAACTTAATAATAAGTTAATAATTAGTTTCGACTAAATACAAAATCATTTTATCAAATTACTAAAACAAAATTATTCGCTAATAAATCTAATTCGTTAGTATTAGCCTATTCAATCTGATTCACATAAAACTAATAAATATTTGTTATCACCCTTTAAAATACGCTCTCCCAAAATTAATCGGCGACACTATTATTTATATGGTATTTTAATATTATTTTAGCAAAAATAAATTGTTTATTTCAATGAAAAATGTTGAGAAAATGAAAGTAATTTTGACATATTTTTTTGATAAAATATCATTGCAAAAAACCAATTTACCACTATATTTTGACTTTGAAAAAAATTAGAAAAATATGTTATTTTAATAATATTTTAACTAAATTTATCTTTGTCAAAATCAAAAATTTCGACCCGTGATAATACATATTAATATCAAAAAATTTTTTGCATCAAAAGATTTTTTTTTTATTTTCTAATTCCTCTTCATTAATTACGTTTCCTGTATTAGTATTAGTTAATGATCGACATTATCCGTTGTATTGATATATTTTTATTATGGTCGAACATAGATTTTAAAAAAAAAAATCCGGTAAATCGAATATATATGAAAAATCCTGAAATATTTGGTTTTGTTGTACGTGAAAATGAAATTATGTGAATTCGCAATTCACACATGTTAAATTCAAATTTACATATGTGAAATTCAAATTAGCCAATCGGAATTTCACCCCACTCCATAATATTTCAATTTCCCATACAACTATGTAAATAATATGATTAAAAAAATATAATACATACGACAAATAAAATATAATCAAATGTAACAATAATAAGTAATAAATTTATTCATTCATAAAATAATCCTCCTAGATTATTACAAATCTATCAAAAAATCTTGTATCAAATGATTTTTTTATTATTTTCTAATTCGAGTGCCTGTATTGGTTAATGATCGACATTATCCGTTGTTTTTTATTATGGTCGAACATATAGATTTTTTTAAAAAAATCCGCTAAATCGAATGTATATGAAAAATCCGTTAAATCCGTTAAATCGAGATATAAAGATTTGGTTTTGTTGTACGTGAAAATGAAATTATGTGAAATTCAAATTAGCCAATCGGAATTTCACCCCATAATATTGT